CTGTGGGTCACAGATGGAGGGTCAGCTATGGGCTTCAGGACCATGGCTGCCTCAGTATGTTCAGACAGGGCATAGGCTGGCTCTGGGTGAAACAGGCTCTCACTAGCCTCCAGCTTAGTCCCATCTCTGGAGCCCCTTCTATCATCAGCTCTTCTGTGCCCCACAGAGCTCTGCTGAGGAATCTTGGGGGGCTTTTCTTGCCCCCAGAGGCCAACCTCTCTCTAGACAGTTCCAAAGGGGTCCTTGCAAGGGCTGTGATCCATGCGGTAAGTGCCCCCATTGGTCATATGTAAGCCAGGCCAAGGGAATAGGGCTCTGTTTCTGCTCTTGCCCTGACACCTGCCTCCCCCTCCCTCCTTTCCCAGGCCATGGAGCAACTACTGGTCAGTGGGCAGCCCTTGCTCATCTTCCTGGAGGAGCCCCCTGGAGCTCCAGGGCCACGGCTGTCAGCCCTAGGCCAGGCCTGGCTAGGACTAGTGGTGCAGGCAGTCCACGTGGGTATTGTCCCAGATGCTATGCTAGTGCCAGTGGCCATTACCTACGACCTGGTTCCAGATATATCTTGTGACATACATCAAGTGAGACCCTCCTGCCCTTTGGGATTCCAAGTGGACACCATCTCCAGACAGGCATAATGTTGTGTCCCATGACTGAGTCCCCCTTAGGGCTGGGGTCCAAGTAGGGTGTGAGGTGTATCATTCTGTAGCAGGTTTCACAGCTGTTATATCATTGTCTCATTTCATTCTTGAAAAACCCTCTTAGGGTTGTTTCATGGATGAGAAAACGGGAGCGTGGAGAGGGTAAGGTCATGCCTGCATGAAGTTGGACTTGAGATAAAGTTACAGGCTGGGAGCAGAGGGCATCTCTGGAGAGCAGGATAGGGTAGGCAGCCCTGAGACCTGCCTGAGAGTAGTGTCCCCAGCAAGCCAGGTGCTCAGCCTTTCTTCCCCACAGGCCTCCAGCCCCCTGGGGCTGTGGAGGGGAGCTTTGGCTGTCCTGCAGAGACTGCGCAGCTCCTGGGGCTGCCTCCATAGGGTCTGTGTCCGGGTGCACCTTGCCCAGCCCTTCTCCCTGCAGGTATGTAGCTAACTGGGCAAGGATGAAAGTCTACTACGTCCTCTGGCACCCTGGCCCTCAAAGCCACTGAAGGAGAGCCTCTCCTGCCTCAGTGGTCTGTGCAGGTTTGTGGCTAGAGCAGGTCACCTGAGAGTCTTGTCCTGGCAGGAGTACACCATCAATGCCAGGAGCTGTTGGAGTGGCCGGCAGACCCTGGAGCACCTGCTGCAGCCCGTCGTGCTGGGCCAGTGGTAGGACAGGGGTGTGTGGGTTTCAGGGCCCCACAGGCAACCGTCCAGCTTTTGAAGTGGAACCCTCTCACCTCACTCAAACAGGCATGTCAGCACCCTTGCCTCACATGCAGCATGGGGTCATGGATAATTCCAGATACTTGCCTATGGTCTGAGTGAGGAACATGGCCCACAGGCCTGGAAGGGGTGGGGGTTATAGGAGCCGTCGCCTGGGCTGCGCTGAGCGAACACCTTAGGTGAATGCTCTGGGCTTCCCAAACATGCCTGTTTTTAGATTTGGTCCCTTCATTCAGTTTGTGTGTCTGTCCAGCACTGCTGTCCCAGACACAGAGAAGGAACAAGAGTGGACCCCAACAACTGGGCCCCTCCTGGCCTTCAAGGAAGAGGACCAGCTCCTTGTCAGGCGACTGAGCCGGCACATCCTGCATGGTGAGGGGAACTGGGTGCCGGCCTTTGGGGAAGGTCCTACACAGTCCCTTCTCTCTGGGTTGACCAGTCATCAGGGACTCCTGTTTCAAATTCATGTCTGCACCTGACCCACTAACCCTTGGTGGCATACTTGGGACACGTGAAGAAGAATGGACCCTGCCCCTGCCCAAAGTGCAGGGTAGCTGGGCAGTAGCTGAGTGCACACAGGCTGCCACCTGCACTAAGCATGTGCAGCACAAAGGCACATGGCCACTACATCAAGTCCTACCAGCCTGCCTTGGACTCATAGTGTCCCCTTACCTTATAGCCTTTAGCTACAAATGGTAAGGACAGCTGGATGGAGTGGTGCATGTAAGGGGCTTACCAGTGCCTACAGAGTCACACACTTGCAGAGGTCCCTTGTTACCCCCACCCCCACCAGGCCTTACAGACCCAGGCAGGCCCCGAGCCCAAGGCCTGGCTTTGCATATGTGTGACCACGGCCAGTTCTCCAGTCCTGTTCCCCTGCTGGGGTGGAGCTGTGTTGTGTGGCTGGGAAGACTTGCCAGGTGACGGGGAGATCAGGCCCCTGATCAGCACTTGCCTTTGTCCCCAGCCAGTGTAGCCAGCTCGGCAGTGATGAGCACAGCCATCATGGCGACGCTGCTGCTGTTCAAGCACCAGAAGGTAGGAGCTGGGTGGTGAGGCCTGGTGGCCAGCTCTCCTGCTCAGCTCTGTTGTGTTCCATAGGGTGTGGTCCTGTCACAACTCCTGGGGGAGTTCTCCTGGCTGACAGAGGAGACGCTGCTGCGTGGCTTTGACGTGGGCTTCTCAGGGCAGCTGCGGTGCTTGGTGCAACACACGCTGAGCCTGCTTCGGGCACACGTGATCCTGCTGCGCATCCACCGCGGGGACTTGGTGGTGGTGCCACGGCCTGGCCCAGGCCTCACGCACCTGGCTCGCCTGAGTGCAGAGCTGCTGCCTGCCTTTCTGAGCGAGGCTGTGGGTGGTGAGTCCTGAGGGTGCGAGTGGGTAGGGTGTGAGTGCAGGGAGAGGGGACCTGCCCATTCACTCTCCCCTGCTTCTACCAGCCTGTGCTGTGCGTGGGCTGCTGGCAGGCAGAGTGCCACCTGAGGGGCCCTGGGAACTTCAGGGCATAGAGCTGCTAAGCCAGAGCGAACTCCACCGCCAGATCCTGCTGCTGCTGCACCTGTTGCCGCAGGACCTGTTGCTGCTACAGGTCAGACCCGCCCACAGGGTCCTGGGCCCCTCCTGGTTTGTTGGAGGTAGCCCAGCCCTATCCTGCACCCTCCTGTGGTAGTAGTAGTTGTGGCCTTGCCCTACCTCTGGCTAGGCCCCTGGCTTTCCTGGGTTCACACAGGTGTCCGTCTCTCCTCAGCCCTGCCAGTCTTCCTATTGTTACTGTCAGGAAGTGCTGGACCGGCTCATTCAGTGTGGGCTCCTGGTCGCTGAGGAGGTAGGTGTGGCAGCTGGAGGCAGAGTCCCTGTATGGGGCCTAGCTTGCTCCTGCCTCTCCAAGTACCAGTTGCCCCAGACTCCTCTGTGCTATGTGCTGTGGGAATGGGTTGCCCAATGGCCCAGAGCACAAGGGAGCCTGACTCCACTGCAGCTGCCCTGGGCCCACGAGTGTCATGACAGAACATGTGTGTACTGTTGGGGTCCCCTTCACACCTCCTGCCCTGGCCTGTGAGTGCTTTGGGGCTCCCTCCCTGGCCAGCCTGTCGGGGACTAATGGCTCTCATGGCTTCCAGACCCCAGGCTCTCGGCCAGCCTGTGACACGGGGCGTCAGCGTTTGAGTGCAAAGCTGTTGTGGAAACCGAGTGGGGACTTTACTGACAGTGACAGTGATGACTTTGAGGAGGCAGAGGGCCGGTACTTCAGGGTGTGTTGGGAGAAGTCACTCCAGGAGGGAGGCAGCAGGGGGCACGGGGAGCTCCACTCACCCTGGGCTCTTCCCCTTCAGCTCAGCCAGCAGTCACGCTGCCCCGACTTCTTCCTTTTCCTCTGCCGCCTGCTCAGTCCACTGCTCAAGGCCTTTGCACAGGCTGCCGTCTTCCTCCGCCAGGGACAGCTGCCAGATACTGGTAAGGCTCCCCCTGTGCTTGCCATGCTCAGGGCAGGTTTCTGCCCATGCAGGACTTGGATCTAGGTCTTCCTTCTGCAGAGGCAGGCTATACAGAGCAGTTGTTCCAGTTCTTTCAGGTCACGGCCCAGGAAGAGGGAATCTTTGGTGAGTCCAAGCAGCATGTGCAGGTTCCTCTAGTGGGGTGGATTAGCTGGTGGCTGCTGCCCCCTGCTGGCAGTGGCAGCCCAACTCCAAGAACTGACTACACAGAGGGCCTTAGCTCATGTTGTTTGGAGGGCCCCTCAGTCCAATCGAAGCCCTATCCCTGGGCTATTCCCTCTTTAAACTTAAACAAGAGGAGGAAAGCTGTGTCCTGTGGCTCCCCCTAAGCCTTCACTTCTCCTCTCTCTAGAGTATGTGGACCCAAACCTCGCCATCAGTGCTGTCTGGACCTTCAGAGACCTGGGGGTGAGAGGGCCAGTGTCACCATCCTCCTGCTTTCAACCTCTGATAGAACTGCTCAAGGAAACCTGCTGTGTCCCCCACCTGCCTGGGCTGGCCCTGATGACACCGTAGACACTGGGATTTACCTAGGAATAGACATGATGAAGGATGAGGCAGTTTTCTTATCCAGCTTGGTATCCTAAACCACTGGCTTCCCCTACTCCCAGGTGGGGTGCTGAGGGCAGTTGGAGAGACAGAGGCAGTGTTTACACCCAGACAGAGGCCTGAGGGGCCAGAGGTCTCACTGCAGATTTCTGAGGACCAGGTGTGGCTGTTGGCTCTGTGAGCACAGTCCTGTGTGGGAGTACTCACAGTCCCATCTCATGGCCTAGGTGCTGCAGCAGACGCCCAGCCCTGCAGGCCCCCAGCTTCACCTGTCCCCTACATTTGCCAGCCGGGACAATCAGGACAAGTTGGAGCAATTCATCCGACAATTCATCTGCAGTTAGAGCCATGAGGCAGAGCCTGATCTCAAAGTGCCTCAACCCAGCTGTGTCCTCGAGACAGACCCCTGGCTGGACTAAGAAAAACTGTGGTTTGACAGTGTCTTGGCTTCTCTATTATTTGGTGTAATAAACAAGGGGAATGGACGAGTCCTCATTCCTTTGGGTATTTATGTCCTTCTTCCCCAGTTCTATGAAAATTCCCATCTTGCCCTCATAAAAGCCCGAAAAGACGACAAAACAACAGAAGCTAAGCTAAGCTTCAACTTGAATTTATTGTGGAGCTCCACCTTCCTTCCTCCTACCTAGAGGAGCAGCATTGGGCCAAGTGGCACAGCAGAGGCTCCACCTTAGCTGGAGCTCGAGGGAGGAAGCTGTCACACCACCTTGTTGATGATGCTGCCAAGTTCTTCAATCTCACACTGGACTTCGTCACCCTTCTGCAACAGCAGGCCACCAGGGTTTCAGCTCTGGCACACACACCTACACAGCCTGCAGTCCTCAAGTCTGTGCCAGCCCTGTGCAGCCTTCTCAGTCCTTGCCCCCTTTCTTCCTTTTAGCTAACTCACCTTGAGAAAGACAGGTGGCTTCCTGAACACACCAACACCTGGGGGGGTCCCGGTAAGGATGACATCCCCTGGGTAAAGAGTGACAAACCTAGGGCAAAAGCAAAAGGGCCAGGTGAGGAGCATTGGAGGGCTCAACTAAGCCTCCAAGTGTGTGGATGGGAGGCCCACCCACTTACCGGGAGACCCAGGCTATCAGCTCCTCTGTCTTGAACACCATCTGGCTGGTGTTGCTGCTCTGGACCACCTCCCCATTCACACGGCAGCAGATCTTTAAGTTGTGGGGATCTGAAATGAAAACACCGTGAGGTCACTTGCTCCCACATTCAAAAAGATTTAACTGTACAGAGGCTTCAACCTGCCAGGTGAAGGGCCCTGTGTGCCTAGCTTGGACTGTACCCTGAGACTTCCTGTGCAGAAATGGCTCCCTGCATCCCCATCACTCCAGGCACCAAGCAGGAGGCACTTGGGTGAGTGAAGGGGTGGGGGAGAAGAGCAGCTGGGTTTTCTTTTTCTTTTCTTTTGCCTTAAATGGACATCTGTCCACAGCAGAGCCTGACAACTGTAGCTATAAAAATGACTCGGCATCTACAGAACAGCAGGGTGATGGCTTGAGCAGGGACAGTAAAGCCCTGTGTTGCTGTCACCTGATGCTGGCTGGCAGTGGCCTACTCCACCTGATTAGCACACACCTGTATTTTTCTTGGTGGCTCTGTGTGCTGCATCCCCTCTACCCTCCACAGGCAGAGCAGCTGGAACACAATTGAGCTTTACTGGGGATCCTGCACTAGTGCTGGCAGGCTCTGCTGCCCTGGGAGTGGCTCACGCACGTGGCCATGCCACCTGCTGGTGCTGCTCTGTGTACACAGTGGCTGGCTGAGGTCCAGTTGGTGCTCCTACCTCTCCTTCTCTATTGTGAAAGTGAACAGGATTTTTTTGGTACCACTACTGAACCCAAGGTTGCCTAACCACTGAGCCACATCCCCAGACCTTTTTTTGATTTTGAGACAGGGTCTCACAGAGTCCTTAGAGCCTTGCTAAGTTGCTAAGTTTGGTCTTAAACTTCCAATCCTTGTGCCTTGGCCTCCTGAGTCATTGGAATTACAGATGTGCACCATCATGCCCAGCTGAATAGCCTTTACCACAGTGATTTTCCATGCGGAAGGGCCAGCTTTGCTTCTAGTCCAGACAGGGGCAGCTGGAGGAAGCCTGGCCCACTATTGCTGCAGGGCTATTCTTTGTGATTCACTTTATGAATGTAGTTTTGCAAGCACTACAGTGAGCTCCCTCTGGGGACTCAGAAGGACGCCCATGGGGACCTCAGCTGAAACTGTGCACTTGCCCTCTGTAGCAGCCAGGGAAGTAGGCTTGCTTGTGGCTGCACCTGCACTCCTCCAAAGAGTGCTGCTTTCTCCTGATGCCAAGTACAAAGACCCACAGGGACCCACCTGCTATACTGTCCTTGGTAACCAAGGCAGGGCCCAAGGGGCAGAAGGTATCGAAGGTTTTTCCCAGCAGCCACTGCTTCCCATTGCGTCTCATTTGCCAGTCCCGAGCACTCACATCATGGGCCACAGTGAAGCCAGCCACGTGAGCCATGGCATCTGTGGCCTATGGAGGCAGGGGATTTGGCCAGATAGGAGGTTACATCATAGGTGACACCAACCCCCTAGAACAAAAAATCTCAAAACAGTCATCCCAAGTTAGGTGGTAGGTAAGGCAGTGTCAGCAAGCAAGTAGGTGCTGACCATGTCCCACTACTGGGGACAGCAGGCACCTTTGTTTTGGGGAGAGTGGTCAGTATTAGCAGGGACAGAAGCTGGGGCCTCTGCTCCAGTCGGGCCTGCGAGTCCCCTCTTCCACTTCACCTTGATATGTTTGCCTTTCTTTCCAATGACCACGGCCAGCTCCACCTCCCAGTCCACCTCCTGTAGAGTGGAAGAGAAGTAGTGAGGGGGATGGGAACCAGTATGATGGTTCTCTCTAGCTGCAGGGGCCCTGGGCCTCAGGCCCCAGGTCCCTAACAGTGGCCTTGGTTGCCAGTCCATATCTACAGTCCCCACAAACCAGAGCCAGGAAGTGCTGGGGAAGAACTGCCTTGTGGACCCACAGAGGCTCCAGCATCGGAGGTAGCACTGAAGGCCATGGGCACAACTCCCCAGTGTAAAGGAAGAACAATGAGTGTCTGTAGGACTGAGCATAAAGTCGCTCTTGATGCCTGTAGCAGAGGATACCAAGTAACAATAGCTGACAATATATGACCCTAGCTTGTTCTAAATGCTATGATGTATTAACTCAATTTAATAAGAAAAAGGTCAGCATCTTGGGAAAAGTGCTTCAATAAGCACAAAAAGAAATACAGAGTTATAAAATAGGAACAAATGCTCCACATGGCCCAAATTAGCAAAATACAATTACAAAGTAGATAGGACTTAGCCTTCTGAATTGTCTGCTATTTCTCATGGTGATAACCAAAGCTGGTGTCAGTATGCATGACTCCCAGGGGCTGTTCTCCAACACTAGTCTCCACTAAAAAGGACCAGTTCCTTGAGAACCTGGTTAATTCCAGGTGCAGGAAGTACAGAGGGGCCTGGAATGACAGCCAGAAAGCAAGAAAAAATGAGGGGCTTGGGAACCAACACAGTGGCCCTCTCTGCCCAGAGGAGGTTGTAAAACGAACATCTGAGCCAGGGAGTACAACCAACTGGACAGAACTCAAAAACAGGAAGTCACGGTGATGTTAAAGGCATGGAGGCAACTTTGCCTCTGCAGAGAAGAACACCAGCGAGTGAAGGCAGAAGGTGTCCAAGAATCATGTGCTACAATGAAGCAGGTAAGGACCCCAGGACTCCAGGAGGAGCCATTCGTCCCACACTGCCACCCACAGATCACTTAGGAACTACAACAAGGAAAACACATTTCACAGGGGAGACAGCTAGTGAATGTCAAGGAAACCAAGAGGTCACACTGTAGGACCACCTCATGTGAGCCTCCTGACAGGAAGTACAGAATTATAGAAAGTGCTTAATGAGGAAAACACAGAACTAGAATGTGGGATGTACCTTGACAAAACCTGACTGGATTCTTGGAAAAGTGTAAAGAGTTGGGCACAGTGGCATATACCTGTAATTCCAGCAACTCAGGAGGCTGAGGCAGGAGAATTGCAAGTTCAAGGCAGCCTGGGTAACTTAACAAGACCCTCTCTCAAAATAAAAATGATGGGGGATGTGGCACAGTGGTCAAGTGCCCCTGGGTTCAATTCCCAGTATACAACAACAACAACAACAAATCTAAAAGTTGGAAACAAGTCCAATAGTAGGTGACCAGTGAAGAAATTATGGCCCTGGTACAATAGAAAACGATGTGGTAACCTAAAATATGCCAAGGAGAATATTTAATAGTATTTATGAAAACGCCCTTGGTGGAGTCTTAAGTAGAACATGCATATATGTACAGTGTAAACACATTCAGGAGTAAAAGGACACTGGGGGGTAATACAGCCAAACACTAATAATGCATTATCAAGTAACAGAATTCCTGCAAGTTGAATGTACCCTTGTGACTGGCCCATTGACACAAAGGTGGTGGGAGGCACAGACCTGGCTCTCTGGTGGGAGGACCACCGCATCGTAGGGCCCCACGATGGAGCTGGCAAACTTGCTGAAGATAATGGGTTCCTTGGGCACAGGCACGTTCTGTTCTTTGCAGTGGTCCACATAATTCATGCCCACACATACCACCTTGTCTGGCCGTGTGACTGGGGCTAGGAAGGTCACCTCTGACCGTGGGAGGATGGGCAACTGGGTTGTCAGGGCTCTGTAGAGACCAAGCAGGAAGAGGCTGGTTGGGAACAGGTTTGCAATCCTTGGCTGCCCCATGACTGGGGGCAACAGGGCAGATGGCTGCTTTTTAAAATATATTTCCTAGCTCTATCAACCATCAGAGTAGGTGTCCTTCGAGAATACTTCGAGCACTGTATTCATACAGTGTTTGTTTCCTTCTCCCATTAGGTAACTCATGTCCATTCTGGAGAATCCAAAAGGCACAAATGGGAATACGTGGCAAGGTCTCTTTGACCCCTTCCAGTCACATGATGTCCCTCCCTGGAGACACCCTCTATGTCCTGAGCAGTTCTTAAGAACAACTCACTGATGACCTTTCCTCTCATCCTTCTATACCCAAAATAGTGTACTGTATGCCCTTAAAAAAAAAAAAAAAAAAAAAAAAATATATATATATATATATATATATATATTTAAAAATTTTTTTGAAGATCCCTCCATCACAACAAATAGTTCTACTTGTCCCCTCTGCCCCTGCATATCACTGCACTTCAGAGATGCACACAACTCCCTAGTGAAGGGCAAGACACTGTTTCCACCCTGTGGAGAAAGCAACAGTATGGGAAAATGTTATCATCAACACCACATGCTGCCAAGTATTTCTGGTTTTGCCAATTTAGTAGGTGAAAACATCTTCAAGTGGTTTTAATTTTCGGGTCACCAATCCTTGAGCCAGATTTCACAGAGCTTCTGGCTTCAGAACGCCCCACTCCCCGACCCCAACTTGGGAAACAATAATCTCAAGAGAAAATCTTTTTGCAGTCCCCTTTCCTATAAGGAGCCAGGAGTCTAAAATGCTTCCCTTCCCTTGCTCCTGTAGGGAAAGGCCACCTGCTGATGTTCACCAGGTGGGGGAGTGTGGAGAGGGGGACTGGGGCAGTGGCTGTAGGGCGGTGCTGCTGGCTGACTCACCTTCTTGCCACTGACAAGGTGGCCTCTCCCTGCTCCAGGAACTGCAACATCGTCTTGGGGAGTGTGGGGTCAAATGCGTTGAGGTCAATGACCCCCCCATCATTCCCAGCCTCCAGGCCCAGGTGAGGCCCCTCCAGGTGGGGTGCCTGGAACTGCACCAGTCTCATGTCTCTGGAGGGCTGAAAGGGCTGCTTCCGAGCCTGCAGCAGAGCTGTGAATAACCTCCTAACAGTGACCAGCATCAGAGCCTACAGAAGGAAAAAAAATCAAGAGACAGGATTTCAGAACCACCATCAGGATCCCCAGGCCCCATGGGAAGTGCTGTTTATGTTATTTCACCTGCTATATTTCATGCAATGAAAACATATTGGGGAGTGACTCCTTCATGGCAGGCTCTAGGCTTTCCCAGAGATCCTAGTGTTCCTTCAACCACTATTTTTTGAAAGTTTATGATGTGCCTGGCAATGCTTTGGGCACTGAGGCAACGATGTAGGTCCCACAAACTCAGCCCTGCCATCCCGCTTACTGGGAGACAGGTGAAAACTGAAAAACAAAACAAAACAAAACAAAACAAGAATCAGCTATTGGGCCCAGTACTATGAAGATGATCACAGCCTTGACCTTTGTCCAGCTGCTATAGGAAGTGCTTTGAACTGAGTGGGACTGGGAATCTTGATAGTGGCAGCCCCACTGCCAACACTGGCCTCATGTGATTCCTTAAATACTAATTTGATTCTGTTGCCCTTCAACTTGAAATGCTTCTTAGTGCTCACATGTGCAAGCCCCTGACTTCTAGAGCAGCCCCCACCCTGCCTCTTCAGACAGCCATTATTTAGTTTCCACTGCTGGGGTGGAAAGTCAGTGGGGCGTCTGACTTACAGCAGTGCTCTGTTGTCTCTGAAAGGCAGGGCTTTCCTGCTGAGTTCATGGAGCTGAGCTCTGTGCCTGCCATACAGAAGGCTCTCAGCGACTTCAAGGAACACATGACAGAAGCAAGGCCTTGACCTCACTTCTTGGGAGACATTGTTGACTGTCAACCTTGAAACAGATGACTGTGCCTTCCCTCAGATCATCTAGAAAATATCAACATGGTTCAGAAACCAGTTTGAATTCCATGCTCCACTTAAAGACAAATCCCATCCTCTAATTCTTTTTTTTTCCCCAGTGGGAAATTGAACCCAGGGCTTCCCACGTGGCAGGCAAGTGGTCTACCCAGAGCTACATTCCTAGCCCCTCCCATTCTCTTTATTTTGTTCTTAATCTAGGTAGGGTCTCTACCCTTACCACCATATCCCTCTCCTGCATGGTGTCTTGCTTTTAAAAATAGTACTTGATGCTGAAAAATGTGCAGGTAGCTCTTTGAGCTCCAAACTCTTAGTCCTTACCCCCTGAAGTCAATCTATCCTGTCCAGTCAAAGACTCATTAGACTTAGGTTACCACTGTGCTGACCTCCAAGTTTAGCTAGAAAATCAGGGGCTTTGTGTCTCTTGCCCTGTTTTCTTATAGAAGCACCAACCATGCCACTGTCAAAAGGCTGTCCCAGTAAAAACGCATCCACTAAGAAAGTCTACACACTAAAATAATAGTAATGGCTTCCACTGAACACCAGATACTGTATCAAAAGTTCCACTTAAAATGTCTCATTTAATTCTCTTGACAACTGTATATGGTAGGCATTGTTAACCCCATTTTACAGAGGGCAAAGCTAGGGCTTAGAGAAGTTAAAGAATATGTCCAAGGTCCAAGTGTCACACATTTAAGAGATTGGAATCCATGACATTGGAATCGAGTGTTGTGCAAGCAAGATAATCTATGGACAACCCTTCCACTCCTCCCAGGGCAATGCCTCCAATAGGAGATCCTCCAGAGGCCCTGTTATCAGCCCTATTTGCCATTGGTCATGACTACTGGTGCCCAGGGGCCTGCTGCCTCACAGATAGGACTAATTATCTGCTTTTCTAGATAACCCCAGGTCTCCAGACTTTGCTCTTCCCACATGAGAGCCACATGCTGGTTCCTTTCACCCCTCCAACAATCACCTGGGACATGACGCCCGGTTGAACAAAAGGGGGCATTGAGTCTTAATGAGGTAAAGTCACCTGCCAAGGTGACCCTGATGCTTCTGCAGTAACAGGCATGCCCCAGAGCCCGAGCTCAAGCCAAGTCTGCCAAAGAGTCCTTTAGCAAAGAGACTGCAACAGGAGTTGGAAACCGCTCAAGCTAGGCGGCCTGAGACGCGGGTTTGCAGGCAGACCCGGCCCCACCGTCTGCTCTCCTGGAATCGAAGTCGCTCCCTCACTTTGCTGGATCCCCAGCTCTAGGCGCTCACCGGGGTCGGCCCCGCCGCCCGTGGGCTCGGAAGCGGTGAGGTCTAACCCGCCCTCCGCGGGAGACACCCTCCCGGTCTGCTGCAGACCGAACCTACCTGGCCGCGGCGCCCTGCGCTGTGGGGTTAGAGCCCAAGGAAGGTTCAAGGCAGAAGGAGCCAGCCAACTCGCCAGCCCCGCACTACACCTATAGCGGACCTCAGAAAGCAGGCGCGCTCCGCTGTCGTCACGGAGCGACGGGCAATAGAAGGCGCCCGTTTTTTTCCCGGAAGCTGAATCGCGCAGGGCGAGCGCAGTGTCGGAGCGCGGGTCTTCCCCGGAACGTACCTTCTGACCTCGGGGCATCGATGCGCGTAGGCCGGACTTTTTAAGGGACGCGCACTCTCAGGGCGACCCAGTGCTTTCCGGCCTGCTCTTTCCGGCCGCCTCGGTGGCCTCCTCCAGGCTGGCTCTGTGGCCGCCCAGCCGCCATCGTTCCGATAGATGGGCAGAATGGTGGAGGAGGCCTAGTCCTAGCGCGGCGAGGGACGGATATTTTTGTCTTCTGATTGACATACTAGAAAGGGAGGGATGGTTGTTATCTGTTTTACTCGTGGGGAACCTGAAGCCGGAAGTGTTTTGCCCGAGGCCCGAGTGGGAATGAGGAGCAGAGCGGGGACTTCCAGACCCCGAGGCCAGCCATTCCCACCCATGTGCCCTGTGCGGGGCGCAGGGCGAGGCAGTGGGAGACCGAGGCTTAGTCTTCAGCGCAGAGAACATTGCAGTGGAGAGGCGGTTTCATGAGACCGGGCGAGAGGCTCCAAAGTTAATCAAAGACCAAGTGGATCTCAAGGGCTGGACTTGTCCCGTGAAAAAGCCTGAATCTTATCTGAGTGCATAGGCTGCCATTGGAAGCTTCTAACCAGGGTGCAATGTCCAAACTTCCGGAAATCTGACCCAGGTCATTCTTCCCAGAGTGGTGTGGATGCGAGCCATTGGGATTTGGTTTTGAGTGTTCAGGGATGGTTAGGAGGAAGAACTCGCAGCCCTGGGTGACTTTCCTGTCCTTCCCAGCCTTTGACCATCCAGCCAGACCACTAGCAACTACACGCGAATTGAGGTTGAACCATATCTAGGGCCACCTCTCTCTGTAGACAGACAAATATAGTGCTCAAAGTTTATCTGGGAGGACTATTCACTACTGACCCTTGGAGTTGTCCTTGAGAGCGGCCATCATACTGCCATAGATGACTTTTTGGGTGTTATAAAGTATATTGTGCAGACAGTCATGCTTGAGTTTTCTCTTCTTCAGTACTGACCCTAAAAACATACCTGGAAGCCACAGGTGTGGGTTGAGGGAGAGGAGTGAACACTACTGGCTTAGGTGTTAAAGGAATCTGAGACACCTGCTCTTGCAGCTTTACTGTACCTCCCACCCCTAACCAGAGCTCTTTTTCTTATCTCCCATTTCCACTTGATGATAAATTGCTGCTGCCCATGTCCATCTTTATGACAAGGTGGGTCTGACAACATTCAGGTTATTCTGAGAAGCTCAGTCAGATGATCATCAGATATTTTATGGTTTGATGTTCAGACTCTAGCAAAGCCAAATAGCAACCCAGCTATTTCTTTAAAGGAGAGTTGTTATCTGCAGGGGCAGGTATAGATTATCCCTAAAATCCAAGCAGTCTGGCCTCTGATGATCCTCCTATATGGTGAGTTTCCATATTGCAGAGCTACTAGCTATTAGCTATTAATTGACATCATCTAATTGCAGCTTCATGAGTAGCCTTGAACAAGAGTCATCTAGGTGGACGTGGGTGACTTCCAATATGATGAGATAATATTGATCGATGATTGTTGTTCAGCATTGGCTGAATAGAACAATAGAACAACATCCTCAGTGGTTCCCCTGCATCCACGCTGGTCACATCCAATCATGTCCTTGTTTCTGGGGGAGATTTCCAAAGCACTAATTTGACATAACACCCATGTTATGATTTGGGTATGGTTGGTCCCCTCTGAATCTTATATGGAAATTTGCCACAGAGTGAGGATGTCATTAAGATTGGCTTAAGTTACCATGAGAGTGGGATGTTATAAGTGAGCCCAGGCCCTCTTGCTTGCCTGTCTTCTGCATGTGCCTGTTTACTCTTCTGAATTCTGCCATGTTAGGAAACAACTTGACGCCCTTGTGAGGTAGGGCTGCCCAGTCTGGCACTTCCCAGCCTCTAGAACCCGTGAACCTAAACAGACTTCTTTATAAATCACCCTGTCTCAGGGATTCCGTTGTAGCAACAGAAAGCAGACAACGACACCTCATCAGTAGCTTCCTGTGACTCAAACCCTTTGGGTCTTACTCCCACCTACGGCTCTGCTCTGCTGCCCTCTCCCATTCCTTTGGTGTTAGCCCTCAGTTAGCACCCAGCGCTCTGGTTTCAGCCCTCGAATTGTAGCCCTGGGCCCCAGGCAGTGTTGCCTCCCCGCTATCATGCTTCACCTGGCTCCGGGTCATCCATCAGGCTCTGCAAAAATGCTGCTGCCCTTGGGGAGCCTGGTGTCATGTACCCAGCTCGGAGGTCTCATCTTCATTGCCATGACATTGAGTATAAATTTACGCTGTTTTATATGATTTACTTTATCAATATCTTGTCTCTAAGAAACTCTAGGCTCCATAAGGGAAGGGTTTGCAGATATTCTGCTATTTTATCACCCCTTCCTGGTAATCTTTTTTTTTAGAAAAAAAAAAATGAACAAATGAAGGAAGTAAGGGCCTGGGGCAGGGCCTGGGTGAGGGACCTGGAGCAAAGGTGCCTCCTGCCTGCCTGCGTGCCTTCCTCAAGTTGCTTTTTCCAGTTACTCAGGAGCAAGGAGGTGAATAAGGAATCAAGGGTGAGACCGCATCTCTTCCTCGTGGGCCCCATTTGGTCTGCCCCAGAGAAACTTGTACTTGGGGGCTGGGAAAGTTTGTCAACAAAGTAAGGAATTGGAAAGTTTCGCAATCTTAGTGGCTGTCAGGGACTGATGACCTGTTCTTTGGGGCCTTATTTTTAGTTTCTGGATGTTTTACTGTATTTGGTGATTTTTTAAAAAACTGGAAAACTGCTGCCTGGCTTCACTTGTGTGCTCTTGGGCGGGGACAGGGCCAGAAGGGGCGTGGAGAGGGAAGGCTGGGCAGGGCTGGAGTGTGCCTGCTCAGGCGAGGGTGCCCCACAAGGCAGAGAGCCCCCAGAGGAGATGTTTCAAAGAGACTTTGATCCTGGGCAGCCTGGAGCTGGCCCCACAACCTGGCACACTGGGGGCTAATAGGTGGGGACAATGAAAACCGGGAAGGGAATGAGAAAGAAAGCCATGCATGGACAGCTTTCCTCTCCCAAGACAAATCCTTTCCAGATGCTGGCTGTAGGCGGGGGAAGGGGTCTCATCACACCCAACGTGATCCTCTCTGGGCCGCATTGATCGTCCTCAGAGTAAATCCTCTCCACATGGGGAATAGGGACCCCTGACCCAAAAATCCAAATTCCTGAGTGCCCAAGAAAACTAATGTGCCCACTAGATCACCTCTCAGGATGACCCACATAAGCCCAGTCCCTTTCTTTGTTCGGGAGCAGGAGAGTGAGTCACCCGTCCCTGCATCCCCTGTTCCTGTGTGAAACTTTGTTCCAGAATAAAAGAGCTGAGCTGACTCATGAACTTTGCATCCAGCCCAGTTCTTTTGTGCTGTCGGAGCCCTTTGGCCTAGCCTTACCAGGGAACCCTGCCTGGCCTCCTGGCCAACTGTAGTGGCCTCTGTCCTTCTGCGCTTCAGCAGCACTTACTGACCACTCCCCTACCCTAGGCCAGCTCTGGGGACGAGGTGTGAATGCCATGGCTCCTGCTTGCAAGGCGCTCACAGTCTGGCAGGGTGACAGGGCAGGATTGGATGGGAAGGAGGTTCACCTCTCTACAGCTGACCTTGACCCTAGCTATTGGGCATTTTCCAGCTAAAAGTACTAAACATCCAATTCCCACTGGCTTAAGGGAGGGAGGTCTGGGCACTTTCAGCGTTCCTGTAAGTGACAAGGAGAGGGTGGTGGGGAGTGGCTTAAGGTACAGTTTGATTTTGAGTTTCGGGGCCCACGTCCCTCTGCCTCCTGGGCCTGGCACCCTCGCCAGGACTCTTGCTCTGACTCGAGTCTCTTGGCTCCTTGAAGTGAGGAAAAGCAAGGGCGGCTCCAGGACTCCCACACCCTCGGCTTAGAGGGAGCTTTTCCCGGCATTCCTGGCAAAGGGCTCCCTGGGCCTCATTGTCTGTGATTGGGTGTGTGCCCACCCCTTGACCAGTCATGATGACCTGGGAAAGACCGTGCCCATCAGATGACATTCCTCATTGCCTTCAGGTTGCCCAGGGACCTAGGTGGGAGAGGCAATCCTAAAGTCCTCTTATTGAAAGGGGCGCAGAGGGGCCATCTCGGGCACAGGGATCCTGCGTCAGTATGAGAAATAGAAAGTCTGGTGGTCCATTTTCAGAATATAGTATTCAGCCTTAAACATAAAATCGGGATCCCATCGTAAGATCCAATCATAGCCGCTTTCAGCTTCCCAACCTGTATCCAGCTGTAGCCATTTCGACTACATCCCTTCCCTTCACAGGCCCTGATTTTAAAATGAGCCGATCTCATAGATGTAGCCCCGGCTTCCTGCTGTCAGAGTGAGGGCCGAGCTGCATCAGATAAAGACAGGACAGTGCGGTGGACAATCCTCAGAGCAGGCCGAGCAAGCTGAATAGAGGGGACTCTGTTTACACCTCAGAGTGTAGGGACAAAGGCAGTATGGCTGGGCCCTGAGTGACAGGAAGCCAGGATCCTGTTGAGGAATAGACAGAACAAACAGGTGCCCAGCAGAGGCAGGGAGCCTGGGGCCGGCCCTGAGGAGCTTGGTGGTCAGCCAGTGGCAGGGGGTGGGTGAACCTGTCCTCAGGGACCTGCTCATGAGGAACCTGGCTGCTTTCTGGGACCATAGGGACCTTCTCTCAAGGCCATTCCAGTGCAGGGCTCCTCCCGCCACATCACTGTGCTGGCCGAGCATGAGTCCGTCTCCCTGCTCTAACTGCACGTGGTGATGAGCAGGTGGGGCGGGAGGCCTTCTCCACACACCCTCATCTTGGCCCCACTCAGTCAGTACTTCTGGCCATGCTGGCTCTGGACCCGGGCCACAGGCACCATTCCTTGTGCAGACTGTCCCCCTCACTTTTCCACCCTCACAGGACTGCATTCCCTTATAGCAGCTGGCTTGGACACACCCAGGTGATTGAAACT